AGTACTCCTTACAGAAAGTGAAGTTGCTCCGTCATGTCCGACTGTTTGTGACCCCATGTACTGTAGCCTACCAGGCTCCTCCGTCCATGGGATTTTCCAGGCAAGAATACTGGAGTGGGTTGCCATTTCCTTCTCCAGATCTTCCCAACCCAGGGATTGAACCTGGGTTTCCCACGTTGTAGGCAGACGCTTTACCATGTGAGCCACCAGGGAAGTCTAAGCCCTTGCTGTGTTCATTACATATATGTGGTTTCTCTCCAGTATGAGTTCACAGCTGTGCACTAAGCTTCCTTTTTGAGAACAAGCCTTTGCCACACATTTACTGCACACATAGGGTTTCTCTACAGTGAGTTCATTCATGTACAATGAGGCTGCCTTTCTGAACAAAGCCTTTTCCACAATCAATGCATATGTAGGGTTTCTCTCTAGTGTGAGTTCATTGATGTCTGATGAGGTGGGCCTTGGCTGGAGAAGCCTTTCCGCATTCACTGCATACGTAGGATTTCTCCCCTTTATGAGTTCACTCATGTACAATCAGTTGGCTTTTCACAGTAAAGCCTTTCTCACAATCACTGCATATAAAGTAGTATGAGTGCACTGATGTACAACGACAAGATCATCCTTCATAGTGAAGCCTTTTCTGCAGACACGACACACATAGGGTTTCTCTCCTGTATGAGTCTGCTGACGTATGATGAGGCAGTGCTGCACTGAAAAGCCTTTCCCACATTCACTGCACGTGCATAGCTTCTCTTCTCTGAGTTTGCTGATGTGTGCTAAGACTGTTCTTCAAGGTGAACCTTTCCCACATTCACTGCATATAAAGGGTTTCTCATCTGTATGAGTTCAATGGTGTGCAATAAGACATCTCTTCTCAATGAAGACTTTTCCACATTCACTGCATATGTAAGGTTTCTCTCCTGTGAGATCCAACCAGTTCATCCTAAAGGAAATCAGTACTGGATCCTCATTGGAAGGACTGATATTGAAGCTGAAACTCCAGTACTTTGGCCACCTGATGCGAAGAGCTGACTCATTGAAAAGACCTTGACGCTGGGAAAGATTGAGGGCAGGAGGAGAAGGGGACGATAGAGGATGAGATGGTTGGATGGCTTCACCAACTCAATGGACATGAGTTTGAGTAAACTCTGGGAGTTGGTGATGGACAGGGAGGCCTGGCATGCTGCAGTCCATGGGGTCACAGAGTCAAACACAACTGAGCGACTGAACAAACTGATCAGGCTTAGCCTCTCATTTTTCTCATTTGCATAGTAATTAACAGAGGTGTCCAACATCCACAACCTTGAATGAATTGAGATGTTATTATCAAGTTTGTCATAGTTCTAGTTCAAAAAATGCTTACCAGGGACTTACATGATGGTCTAGTGTTTAAAGACTCTGTTCTCCCAATGCAGGTACCCATGATTCAATCCCTGGGCAGGGAACTCAATATCACATGATGCAACTAAAGAGTTGGCATGCTACACCTAAAAGAGCCTCATGTGCCACAACTAAGACCCCATGCTACAAAAAAAAAAAAAACACTCCAATAAATTTTAGGTATCATGTTCAGTGTGCTTTTCAGGGGGGCAAGATTGAATCTAGAGTGTAAAAATTAACAAAATGTCTTTGCAGTACAACTTGCAATTGCTCAGTTTAAACTTTTCATTCTCCTAAAGCCAGCAATCAACTTTAAGAATTGAAATTCAGCAGAAATTATCGTTGTGAGAACAAACATGCACAAGGATATTTATGGCATCAATTTTGACAGTTTCAAGGAACTAAGAAATCTTGTGATCATTACATAAACTTACTCTTGCACCTCTGCATTCATACCTTTGGATAGTGCCCCAGCATGGTGACTCTGGTCAATGTGTCCCATGGGAAAATAGCAAGCTTGATGCAGAGGGAAGAAAGACTTGCTCACTGAAGCATGTTCTCCTCTCTTGGAGCTCTCCTAACACATTGTAGTGGAGCCCAGGCTAGGCATGGGATGAGATACTATGTGAAAAGTCACCCCATCCATTTCAGGGATGATATTTCCAGATATGTGGGAAAAAGCCATCTAGATCATGTAGCCACCAGTCAGGACAGCCCACACTAGACAATTTAACTCTCAATCCACATACTAGAGAATTAATAATTAATATTTGTTGCCTTCAGATATTATGTTTTTAGGGAGGTACGTTTGTAATACAGTCAAAGGTAACTAAAACCAATAGGAGTGTACATTAGTAGGTGATTGGTTAAATAAATCATGGGATGGATCTTCATGAACACTATATAGACATAAAAAGAAAGAAGAAGCCTGTAATTGGTACAGATACTAAGGAAAACAGTACACAGGTTCCTCAAAAAATGAAAAATAGGAGTACCATAAGATTCAGCAATTTGGGTATATATCTGGAAAAAAAATAAGAACTCTAATTTGAAAAGATATGATGTTACAATCAATGTTCAGAGCAGTGTTATTTACAACAGCCATGACATGGAAACAGTTTTAAGTGTTCATTGACACATGAATGGATAAAGAAATTCAACCATAAAAAGAAGGAAATCTTGCCATTTGCAACCTTGAGGGATACTAAGTGAAATAAATCAGGCCAAGAAAGCTGAATATTCTATGATCTCTTTTATTTGTAGAAACCCCCAAGAAAACCCAAACTTATAAATAATAAAGAACAGATTGTGCGCCAGAGGCTGAAAGAGGGGTGGGAGGGCAGAAATGGTGGAAGTGGTCAAATGGTATGAACATTGTTGTCCAATAATAAATAATAACAGGATTGAACATCATTAGCCATGAGGGAAATGCAAGCTCAAGATCAGATATGACTACAAACCTAATCGAATGGGTAATGTAACATATCACAATACCAAGTGCTGGTAAGGATGAACAACTGAATCATGTGTTGCTAGCAGAATGACTAAAATATACTGAAAATACCAAGTGCCAGAGAGGATGTGGAACAAGTGGATATCATACACTGCTGGTGAGAATGCAAAATGGTATAGTCACTCTGGAAGAGAGTTTGGTAGTTTCTTTTAAAGCTAAACACAACTTTTTTTATGTCCCAATAATCATACACCTGAATATTTATTACAGAGGAATGAAAATTTATGTCCATCCAAAACCCTGGATGCAGATTTATAGCACCTTTCCTTATACAAGTTGAAACTAGGAAACAATACAAACTTATCTGAAGAGTGAATGGATAAACAAACTGGTACATCCAATAATGTATACTACTCAGTAATAAAAATAAAGTAATTCAACTAAAAAAAGTCTTAAGAGCAATTTCCTGAGGGACAGAAAATAAAAAGATTACATGGTCCTTTTTAATAAAAAAATATAAATTTGTATAAATAAATACAATATATATAATGTTTAAGATTCAGTTATAAGAATTAATTTAATTTCATAAATGACAAAATTATATTGATGGAAAACTGACACGTGGTTGCCGGAGGTAGGTTTGGATAGAAGGAGTGACCATAAAAACGTAGCATGAGGGTGTCTGTGTTGATGAAAGTTTTACGTTCTGGAGATAGCAGTTACACAAAATCTACATATGTAATAAAGCAGCTTAGAATTCCAAAAAAACTATTTAAAGATTCATGTAAAAAATTTAGTGAAATCTAAATTCCAAAGGTTAAGAGTTAATGGTTACATAAAATGTTTTTACCGGGATAAGTTACATAAAGGATACAAGGGAATTCTCTGGACTACTTTTGCATTTTCTTATAAGTTAAAAATGATTTCAAGTTACACATTCTATAAAAACTTTGAAGGTGGTTTTATAAAATATTTGGTTTTATTTATAAACTTAGTTAAGCAAGCTGCAAATATGTGTTCCTATTCCATTTCCTTTTTTAAAAAGTTCAGTATACTTATAATTAGTTTGGAGCCAAAGAAAAGTAAGAGCTAATCACATATGGGGGTAGGCACAGAACACGCTTGCCTACCTAAAAATCAGTGATAAGAAAAGCAAACAACTTTTATTTAAAACTATGGAATTACTGGAACTTCCCTGGTGGTTCAGTGGTTAAGACTTTGCCTTCTAATACAGGGCATGTGGGTTTGATCCCTGATTGGGGAGCTAAGATCTCACATCCCTTGCGAAAAACCAAAAACATAAAACAGAAGCAATATTGTAGCAAATTCAATAAGAGCTGGGAGATGGTCCACATTAAAAAAAATCACGAAACTATGGAATTTTTCACGAGGCAATCAGAAACAAGACTTGGGTGCATCATCTGATGAGGTTACATTTGTAACAAAAAGCACTCAAACATTTATCATTTTCATAAAAATTCATTCCTTTGTAAGCCCACTGATATTTAACTAAAGGTACTTTACCTTTAGCATGTTCCTAAAAGTTTTAATTTATATATGATTCCCTGACAAATGATGAGGCAGAATGCTTCACTGAAATCTTGCAATATATACTGTCTTCTTAAAAATATTTCTCCAGTGTGACCTCTGACACTCACTGAGGTCTTCTTTCTGGGGAAAGACATTCCCATGGTCATATTTCTTTTTTCTTTTCTAAATCATATTTCTACAATGAGTTCACTGATGATCAACGACAATCCCTGATAATAAAGTCTATCTTCCCACTGATGACTTTTCTAGTCTCTGCATTTACAGAATATGTCCAAGTGTGTATGGAATATATACTTTTCAGACATCTAATGAAGTCAAAAAGTTTTTCCCAAGGCATCTCCACACTGAATATATCAAGAGCTTTTCCAACATATTTTCACCAACAGAAAATGTGAGGTAGGATCATTAAGGCACTACTGCATTCACGATATTCACTGGGTTTATCTCTTGGGCAAATCCTTTCATCTCCTCATGGTCCCCCATCTGGTAACAAGTCATCCCATGATTACATTCTGCTTAGCTAGAAACACTGATGTTTAAAATCTTAGCTGTCACAGAAGGCATTTCCCCAATCATTGCATTAATGGGGCTGTGGTTCACTCCTGGATCTACCCACTTCTCTGATGTGCATTTTCTTATGTTTCACAAGGTTTGACAAGTGGGAGAAGGCTTTCTCACAATCACTGCACCCATACGGTCTCTCTCCTGTGTGAGTCCTTTGATGGACATTGAGTACTGACTTTGTGGTGAAGGCTTTTCCACATTCATCACACTCATAGGGTTTCTCTCCTATGTGAATTCTCTGATGGGTAATGAGACCGTACTTGTGGGAATAGGATTTTCCACACTCAGTACATACAAAGGGAGTCTTTCCTGTGTGACACCTCTCATGTTGTATGAGGCATATCTTCTGACTGAAGGCTTTACCACACTCATTGCACTCATAGGGTTTCTCTCCTGTGTGAGTTCGTTGGTGTATAACGAGAGTGAGTTTTGTGGTAAAGCCTTTTCCACATTCGTTACACCGGTAAGATTTCTCTCCCGTGTGAGTTCGCTGGTGTACCATGAGATTACTCTTCACGGTGAAGCCTTTCCCACATTCACTGCATATGTAAGATTTCTCCCCTGTGTGAGATCGCAGGTGTACGGTGAGATTACTCTTCACAGCGAAATCTTTCCCACATTCACTGCACAAATATGGTCTCTCTCCGGTATGAGTTCGCTGGTGTACAGCAAGATAGCGCTTCATGGTGAAGCCTTTCCCACACTCACTGCATACATAGGGTTTCTCCCCCGTGTGGGTCCGCTGATGCACAGTGAGATTACTCTTCCCGGAGAAGCCTTTTCCACATTCACTGCATACATAAGGTTTCTCTCCACTGTGAGTTTGCTGATGTGCAATCAGATAGCGCTTCATAGTGAAGCCTTTTCCACACTCACTGCACACATAGGCTTTCTCTCCTGTGCAGGTTTGGTGATGTACAGGGGAGCTGCTCTTCACAGTACAGTCTTTTCTGGGCTCACTGGTTAAGTGGAGTGTGTCTTGTGTTTGAGTTTTCTGATGTTTAGTTAATGTGACATTTCTGGAGAAGGATTTGTCACATGGATCACACCCACTGGTTTTCTCTCCAGTATGAACACTTTCACGAGAAATAAGCTGAGAATTCCTGCTGCATGGCTTCTCACTTTCAATAGAGGCTAGAGATTTCTCTATTTTGTGAGTCCTCTGACGCTTAAGGACTTGGAATTGAGTGCTGATGTGTTCTATACTTTCAGGAAATATAATTCCAGAATACAACTGTCCACGATCACTATGTAGAAAGGATTTCTCATCTCCATTAAACTCTACAGGGTTCTTTATTCCATAGCTTCTCTTCTGGTTAACTAAACTTAAGCTTGATTCCAAAGCTTTTCTATGTAAGTCAAATATATGATCTTGAATTAGGGTGAAATGTGTTTTGCTCAGATGAACACCCTTTCTAAATGCATTCTGTTCACTGTACTGTTGCATGCTCTTCAGAAATCTTTGGTTTCTAGAGTGCTCTGGCAAATAACTGTCACCTTTCCCGATTCCTAAGAAAAAAGGAAATGACAAATTATTTCATGAGACTGGTATGGGATGAAAGCACTTAAAAAATGACATGGTGTGTGGGGTGCTCTTATTATCTACCATGTAATCCCAGTATAAAATTATAAAGATGTATGAAGAAGTAAATGAATATCAGATCCAGAAAGAGACAAGGAATATATTTAAAGTTAAATGCCCAGAAACAGTTCTCATCTGGAGAGATAAATATGGGGAACAGCTGTTGAGGGGGCTCCTCAGTCACCCTCACAGCTGTGACTCCTCTAGAAGGACCTGAAATATGACTTTGATGGTCACTTCCCTTGCTGATTCTAACTCACTCACCTGGGCAAATTCTATTCTGCATTTCATTTTCTATTATGCATGGTTCTTTTCCATGTTCTAACTTGGAGAGCATATCTGGTTTGGTACCTTGATATCCTGATTGTGAGAAATGATAGAGGACTTAGATGCAAGAGCTGGGGTATTGTATGTCAAGACGGGAAAATACTGCATTTTATTTGTTTAAAATTTACTGAATTTTTAACTTTATTGGATTCCTATTAAGCATATTACATTGGATTCTACTTTTTTAACTGGAGTGTAATTGCTTTACAATGTTGTGTTAGTTTCTGCTGTACACCGTGAATCACCTATGTGGGTACATATATACCCCCTGTCTCTTCCCTCCCACCCCCCATTACCTCCACCCCTGCCAAATACTGCATTTTAGAGACAAAATTTCTTGTACGCAAAGTAAATGTTCTCTTGCAGGGTACAGGAGATTACACCTCTTTGGAGCCAGAAACGGGACAGAAAATCTAACTCTTTGGAAGACCACAGGAACTACTAAGCTTTCATTAGGTGAAAGAGAAAAGTCCAGTGACTCAGCACCTCATAAATGACATTGGGAGTCATCCTTACCCAGCGACACCAAGTTGTTATAGTTCTCCAACATCACATCCCAGTATAGGTCTTTCTGAGCAGAATCCAGGAGCTGCCACTCCTCCCAGTTGAACTCCACAGCCACATCTTCCAGTGTAAGCAATTCCTGTAACAATAAAGTCCTGTATGATGTGAATTCCTTTCATCAATATGGAAGAAACATGAGAGAAGTTATTCTAATTTTCACCATACCTCCTGCATCAATATACTTTTCTCAAATACATTTCAGTTACAAGCAGAATCCTATCTTTCTATATATGTATTTTAGCACCTACCCATTTGCATAATATGCAAATTACATCAGGACAAATAAAATAGTCCTACATTACCATGAAACATCATAGCCAATATAAGAATCAACTCTGAACAGACTCCACATCTGAAATTTACAAGATAATGTTTTTAATACATGTAAAAAATAGCAGAAACTATACAAGATACATCTGTAGCAAAGAAAAAAAAATTAGTTGATTAGGAAGATTTGAAAACAAAAACAAAGAAAAAACACAGTAATGAAGCAGTATCCCAAGATCTAAAAGTGAAAATTTTCAAAACTGATTAAACTCTCCAAACCCCAGGCTCAGGAATGCCAACAAATTCCAAGCAGGAAATCTCTAGGTAGGGACATCAGACTAAAACTATAATACACGAAATATGAAAGGGAACTATAAAAGCATCCAGACACAAAAGATAGATGACCTACAACAGAACTCAAAAAGCATGGAATAATATCTTCAAAGTTCTGATTTTTGTGCCAAAAAAGTCAGACATGAAGGCCACTTGGTACTGAAACACAGGACTCTCATAGAGTCCTGGGCCCCATTCTCTCCTCCCAGCCACACCATGTGATAGTACTCAGGAGTACTGTCAACCAAGGAAGCTCACCTAAAGTCCAGTGTCCAGAATTTTTATTGAGGCTCCCTTATATATGCATGATTTACTGAATCACTGACCACATGGCTGAACCCAGATCCTTCCCCATTCTTGCCCAGACTGATAAACATGGCTGAAAGCCACAACCCTCGAATCACATGGCTGGTCTTTGGGGCATGGACAGCCCTCACCTTGAATTGTCTTATTAACACAAATCATCTAGGGCCCACATGAGTCACCTCATAGCATAAAGTGTGGCTGCAATGGTCTGGGATGAAAAACAAGACACTCCTAACAAATGAGTAATTCCAAGGCTTTAGAGGTTACCTCCCAGAAATTAGGGACAAGAGTCAGCCAAATTCCTTACCACACACTAGGTACTCACACCTCCATGAGGTACCCTTCCCTTAAGCATGAGCTAAACTGCTTCTAAAAAACAAAATACAGCAAAAGCGCTGTGATACCAATTTTAATTTTTTTTTGGTTTGCATAGTATGTGGGATTTTAGTTCCCTGACCAGGGCTTGAACCCATGCTCCCCTGCAATGGAAGCATAGAGTCTTAACCTCTGAACCACCAGGAAAATCAAGACATACATTTTTTTTTTCATTTATTTTTATTAGTTGGAAGCTAATTACTTCACAACATTTCAGTGGGTTTTGTCATACATTGACATGAATCAGCCATGGAGTTACATGTATTCCCCAGCCCAATCCCCCCTCCCACCTCCCTCTCCACCCGATTCCTCTGGGTCTTCCCAGTGCACCAGGCCCAAGCACTTGCAAGACATGCATTTTTAAATTAGGCTATATATATGATTTCCATCTTGCTAACAGAATCTGTCTGTTGATGACTTTGATGAAAGAAGATGGCACGTTGGGAGGCCCATGTGATAAGGAACTCATAGTGGTCTTACACGAGCAGATAGATAGAAACTAAGGATCTCATTTGAGTTCTGGAAATGAATTCTGCCAATAACCACGTAAGTGAACTCAGAAGTGCATCCGAGTCCAGCTGAGCCTCTGGATCATGGTCAAGAAGTACTGAGCTATTATCAGTGAAGCTTGCATATTTCACGCTGAGTCTATTTCTAAAACTCAGAGTGAATCTCCACCACTGTTCACCAAGACATAGGTTGGATTATGTTATTTTCTCATTTCAAAGGTTAAATATTTCACTTCTATCAAACTCCAATGGCTATTTTATTGAGAAATAACTGACATATATCACTGTGTAAATTTAAGATGTAAAGCATGCTGATATGATTTACATATATTTTGAAATCATTATCACAACAGGTTCAGTCAACATCTATCTTCTCTTGTGTAGATATAACAAAAAGAAAAGGAAAAAGCTTTTCTCCCTGTGATGAGAACTCTTAGGATTTGTTCTTAACAACTTTCCTATATATCATCCAGCAGTGTTAGCTATAGCCATCATGTTGTTCATTACATCCCTAGTTCTTATGTTACAACTCACTTTCTTGAGTATGATTATGAAACTCATGGAATTTTATATAGCTATATAGGTAACGCTCTTCAGTAAACTGCATTCATCTTTCTTTTAGATGCGTGATTGGTACCAGGACAGTGGGGAGCCCCTCAGAGTCACCAATGTTGTTAGGAGTATCACTCCATTTACTTAAGTGACATAAACCATTGAATTCCCCAAAGAACTGATCTGCTCTCTCCTCACAGTCAACACACATCATGGAGCTTTTCACGTTTTTCTGGTTGTGATGTCTGCTAAGATAACACAAAGTGACAGCTGATGCAATCCACAGGCTCCACCACAGTCACACATTCTCTTCCAATACTAATCATCTGATGTGATCCCTATGAACAACATATTCCTGATTCACTTTGTCCTGATTCTGAATTCAGAGTCCAAATTAATTTCTACCCAGAACCCAATCATCCCCAATTTATACTTCGTATAGTTGAGCTGTTATTTTTTCTCAGCTTACCACAAATCCATTAGACAATAAAGGAAAGATATAACAAACCAAAAGTCACCTGGGCCTTGATCATCTTCTTCTGTGCTCAGGAAATAGTAAGTAACATGGATTCTGATTTCTGTCTCTTCTGCATTTACCATGTAATTCTTAAAGACAGAAATCTTGGCATTCACTTAAAGATGTCCCCTGGAATGATGATGTCCCAACTCCAAGAACCTCCTCTTTCTTCCCTCATTCCTTGACTTGATCACTCTTTTTCCTGGGGAGTCTGGACCTGTGGGTTGAAAAGCAAACTGACTTTGAGTGTACATTTCCTCTCAGCCCAAACACTGTCACTGTCAATATGCACTTATCCTTAAATAAGGGACCTCAGTATTTCCAGCTGTTCCTTTATTTGATAACCTAGAGGCTTTCATAATCTGAGGCAAAAAAAACAATGTGTGAAAGGTGTGGTTTTCTTTTGTAAAGAGGAAGTAGCATGACTATTAAAGGGGAAGAGGGAAAGCATAAGCGGAGCATGATGCCTCAGAGCCTGATGAAAGCTCAGGGCAGATCAAGTTTATGGAAGAGAACACACAGAAGGTTCCAAGAATCTGGACA